TACATGCTAAGCAAGCATTCTAACCATTGGGCCATCGATGATGGTCCACTAATAGCTTTTTATGTAGAAAGGAATTAGAATCCAATAAAAAGGACTATAAATATGATGAATGTGTGTGAACTGTGCAACTAAGAAATGAAAGAAACACCAGGATGAATAGCAGCATTTGGAAGAAGAATGGCCTGGGGCTGGGGAAACAGCTCAATGGCTAAAAGCACCTGCTGCTGTCCCAAAAGACCCAAATCACCAATGGGTCAAAAGCTGGTACTGCACAATACACTCCACCCTTCCCTCTGACCTCTTTGCTGAGACTACCACCTGGTTGCAAAAGTCTTTCTCTGGCTCCCTTTTTGCAGGTGTTCTTTCCTTCTGTATCCCCCATACATATTATCTAAACTTGATTTGCACCAAATACACACACAAAATATCCCTGGGACCTTCCTCTCTTTATGTCTCCCACCAGGTTCTTTGTTCAGATGCTCCATATGTGAACAACTCCACTTGCCTCCCTGACTGCCCTCCCTACTTTCAGCCTCTCAGCTCAAATCCATTCTCCATACTTCTGAGAGAATGACTTTTTATGAACATAACTAGATTAAGTTTAAGTCTTAAATGAACAATTCTTTTAAGCCCTTTACTTTCCAATCAAACAGTGACCAGCTGACCTCCCTCTCTTTTTGTAATATGATCAAAACACCTCATTCCCAACACTTGGTGGCTGAGTTCATTGAGAGTAGGACTAGGTTTCAGTCCACTTGTTATCTTCAGTTGTAAGTGTCTGGCATTTAGTAGGTGCGAGTGTGAGGGTTAGTTTCATATGTCACGTTGTCTGAGCTAAAGTTCAGATATTTGATAAAACATTAGTGGGTGTTTTTCTGAGGCAGTTTGGGATGAGATGTTCATTTAAATTAGTGGACTTCAGGTAAAGCATATTACCCTTCACAATATGGAGGGGTACACACAATCAGCTGACAGTGTCATTGAAACAAAGGTTGATTTCCCTCAGGAAGGAATTCTTCAGCAGAAAGTCTTTGAAATGGAGCTGCATCCTGCTAGGTGTTCCCATAGACTGCAGACTGTCAGAGCCTCCATAATCACTTAGGCCACTCTTTAATGTAAGTCTGTGTGTACTTATAAGTGGATAAAACACACACACACACACACACACACACACACACACACACACACACGCCCATGTGCACACATCCTGTTGGTTTTGTTTCTCTGGAGAGCACTTGCTAATACAGTAGGTATGCAAAAAATAAAAGGCTTCTCAAATAAAGGAAATACTGTTTTGTTTTTTCACTTAACCTACAAATAAATATCTTTAAAGTGCCTTATTTTGACATATTTTTATAAGTACTCATCAGTTTTAAGTCAATATAAATGTGCTAAACTAAAACAACATACACATAATCTAAGATCTACTGAAATACAAACATGTTAGGTTTTGTATTACAAACATTTTTTAAAGGAGAAAAATCATTGATTAGCCAAGCTTAGGAAACAGAACTGAAATATCTATCACATAGACAAATGAATTTTTAAATCACTGAAACAAATCACATAGCCTTAAGAAAAGCACAGCTAAATGTTCATCAGAAGATACCTTGTTTCTTGCCCTAAGCTTAAGGAATATTCCTGCAGAAGCTAAGGTCCTCTCCAAACACAGTCCTGTGAGAAAGGTCTGCTCAAAGGAAAACTACTGTTATAAAAGTAATATTAAATCTGTTCTGTTGTAAACTTTTGTGTAAACAAAATGCTTAGTAGAAATAATTTCTACATAAGTACAGATAACAAAATGGTTATAAAGAAAATGAATTCAGTTCTCTCCACCTTTTCTGCTATCACCTGAATTCAGGCCTCTCGACAACAGAGGCAGGTGCTAATGATGCTAGCTGCTGCAGAAGAAATAGAGGACTATGAACATGGTCTTGGGGAAAAAAAGAAATATGCTCTCGGTTTACCTTTAAATTTAAAATAAACAGAAAACAAATAAATAAAACTAGTTTAGAGAGAGTCTGCCTAGTGCAAAAACTGCCCTAAAGGACTAAGCCAAAATTTTTATTTCCAGTTTACAACTATCTTCCAAAACCAAAGACTAACAGCTCCTGTTCTTAAGAGGCAAATACAGACAAAAGTACATGATGAGCCAAGCAGCAATAAGTTAGACAATATTATGTTGGTATGAACTATCATACAAAAATTTTAGTATTTCTAGTCCTAGACTTATTACTTGCTAGCACTACATCTTCCCAATAAGTGGATATTATTTTCTAACAGCAAAATCTCACAGAGCACTGCCTCATGAAAATTAAAACTCAAGTCAACTTTGACAGAAGATGAGATCAGAATATGTTAATAAGTTTGGACAGGAAGTACTAGTCCATTAGTGTCCATTCTCACCTTGTCGAGCTGATCCTGAAGGTTAGAGGACGCTTTATAACCAAGCTGTAACAGCATTGCTTCTGCAGCATTCTTTTTCGCTATCTTTTTATTAGGTCCTGTTCCAGTAGCAACTTCATTGCCCACCTTCACCTATAGAGGTTGAAGAAATTAATTAGTTGTATTAATTATATTACATTATATAATTATATAATATAATTACATTATAAAGGAATTCATAGGACTAAAAAGTGTGAAGGTTAATCCAAAATAAAACAGAAAGACAAAATCTTACTCATGTAAATTTTATATATGCAAGTGAAAGCCAACATGGAGCAAATACGGGAAATGGCCCTCAGATTCTGGTGGTCATCTCAGTGTGGCTTTCTTCTAGAACTTTTACTTCCTTACATATCTCTGTATCATTTGATGTTTTTAGACCTTACTCATTTAAGCAAATAAAGTTTACATTAACACAGTATTTGTTCTGACTACATTTAGTACTCTTAATTTCCAGTAATGAACCGAGAGGAGAAATTCATGTTGGTGTCATTTAAACTAATGTCCAAAGTTTATATGAGTTTATATTAGGGCTGGGGACACTGCTCAGTGATAGAATATTTGTCTAGCATATACAGGGTTCTAGGGTCAATATCCAGTATGGAAAAATATCATATTAAACAGTTTCTAAAGAAAATTAATATAAGGCTGAGTATAATACTGTGGTGAAGAAAAACACAAGTGAATCTAGGACTTACAAAATTCAACTGTCTGATTTCCTTTTTGCATAAGGTACTACACATTGTTTAGCAACTCCCTGACCTTCAAACTCCTCATCAATACAGCAGGAATACCAACCAACCATGCCTTAGTGTTGCTTTGGAATTTAAGAAAATCTATATCAATCGTAACTGCTTAGTGTAGAACAACAAACTTCCCATAACCTTTTGTAAGCAATTTAAGCATAATGTATGTGCATGTATGTATTTAAACATATGTGAGCCATCCTCTACACACATTTTCTGAGTCGAATAAGACTATTTTAGAGAGGCATGTACTAAGAGAAATAAAATCATAAAAATTAAATTGAAAAGTGGAACTATAAGGAGGAATCTCCAAAATGGCATTAAAACATGGCTGCTCTTACAGAGGACTCAGGTTAGCTCACCAGCACCCAACATGGAGGCCCACACCTGTAACTCTAGTTCTTGGGGATGTGGTGCCCTCTTCTGGCCTCTGCAGGCAAAACACTTTATACATACAAAATACAAATTATAAACTTCGCGTTGGTGGCACACGCCTTTAATCCCAGCACTCGGGAGGCAGAGGCAGGCGGATCTCTGAGTTTGGGACCATCCTGGTCTACAAGAGCTAGTTCCAGGACAGCCTCCAAAGCCACAGAGGAACCCTGTCTCAAAATACCAAAAAACCAACAACAACAACAACAACAAAATACAAATTATAAATAAATCTTTAAAAGAGAAAATACTAATAGAATGATGTGTCATGTTTATAGGTTATAGGCAACAGTGATACAGCGATGCATGTGTTGATCGATCTATAAATTTACTGAATTCCTATCAAAATCTCACATGTATTTGACACTATTTGACAAGCTGATTCTAGAGTTTATATAGCAGAGCAAAGTGCTAAGAATAGGCATGGGCCGGGCGTTGGTGGCACAAGCTTTTAATCCCAGCACTCAGGAGGCAGAGGCAGGTGGATCTCTGTGAGTTCGAGGCCAGCCTGGTCTCCAGAGCGAGTGCCAGGATAGGTTCCAAAGCTACACAGAGAAACCCTGTCTCGAAAAACAAAAAACAAAACAAAACCAAACAACAACAAAAAAGAATAGGCACAGTTCTGTGGGAGAATAGTAAGGCACAGTACCTCTTTGCTTATCTGAATTTTTATATAGCTACCATAAGAAAAGGGCAGATAAATCTGAGTTTATTAAATTACTTTTGCTCTTAAAAAGATACTAATGAAAAGTAGAAAGGAGGGGATCAATGGCTCAGTGTTAGTTAAGCATTGGCTACATAGATGAGGACCTGCACTTGGATCCCAAAGAACCTACATAGGGTGTGTACACAGGATGTGGTGATTCTCCTAGGATTTGAGCTTTGAAAGCAGAAGGCCAAGAAGGTATTCCCAGGATAAGCTGGGTAACAAGCAGTCATAGCAGCAAATTCTGGGTTTAACTGGGAGACCCTGCCTTATTGAATAAGGTAGAAAAGAGAGTAAGGATGCTTGCTGACATCAACCTCAGGTCCATACACACACAAATGCCTCTCTCTCTCCGTGTGTGTGTGTGTGTGTGTGTGTGTGTGTATGTGCACGTGCGTTCGCGAATGCGTGCCTGTGTCCCTGCCCCCCATCATACACATACACAAGAAAGCAAAATTACAACACAGTACCATATGAAATGGTTCCTATGCAGGGCCTTCCTCCAGAAAATAGTTGATCCCCATGAATTCACATTCTTAAAAGCTATTAGAAAGTAAACAAGAGACCCCAACACATAATCTGTTTCTGATAAGTTGGGTTATGTTGCCAAACATCACCTTGTTAAAAAATAAATAAATAAATAAATAAATAAATAAAGCTCCATGAGAGTATGTGTGGGGGGGGAGGGGGGAGACTGTGAGGAGAAGAGGGAGGGGAAACTGCGGCTGAGATGTAAAATAAATAAATAAATAGATTGATTTTGAATAAAAGAGGACATGGTAAAAAAAAATAAAAATAAAACTCCAACAGCTTCATGCCACTTTCACAAAATTTCACTGACAATCAAGTGGGTATTAGCAATGACTGCATTTATGCCCAAGTCAATACAGTTTCCACATGGACAGCGTGATACTTTTAATTATACTTGGTGGCTTTGGTTCTTGTCTAAAACCCTAGCAGCAGTTGTCCCTCCTGTTCTAGAACATACAGATTCTTGTTTGGCTTCCACAGTTGAGTAATAATTAGCTAATCATAATTTTCATTTTTATTTGAGCTACTATTTCCATCACTACTTTTAAGCTTTAGTAAATCAATCACTTTTAAGTAACCTGTTCTACAACACAAAGGCAACAAAATAGAAACTTAAACATAAACATGAAAGTGATATAGTAAAGGAATGTACTCCCAAGGAATTATAGTAGCTAGCCCATATGACAGTTGTAGCACATGAAACCACAAACATATTCACGGCAGAATTGCTGTGAAACTATCACATCTGTAGTGCAAATGTGTGAAGTGTTTTGAAACAGGTCACTGCTTTTCTCCCAAGTGAGAAGGTCCCCCTGATGCCAGTTGGAGGCCTTCAGTGGACTGTCCTGAGAAGCACCGCTGTACCAGACACTCGTGGCAGTTCCTTGCAGCAGCATGAGCTCACAGTCCCTGCCCTATCAGTGTTGGCCTGACCCTGACCTCAGCACAAACCCTAAGGAAGATGTGTTCCCATCCTCAGCTATTCCCTTCTAATACCTGCTATTTTAACAGGGCTTGGCTTGTTCCCCAGATTCACCAGCCCTTGCAGTTCTGGAACAACTGTTGGTGAAAAGATTAAACTAGCTGCGTCAAAAGCCTCCTCCGCTTCTCTGGGAGGTCAAAAGGCTCACCGAAGTAAACAGAAACCAAAGATCACTGAGCAGCAAATAGCCTCGGTCACCTTCGCCTGCCATAGAATCCACCAAGATTCCACATGCTTTATTCCTAATAGACTTGACTGTAATGCTGTTCCTATCCTGGCACCAGGTGCTTACCTGTGTCTGCCAGGTTTCCACCTGACCTGATCCTTTCTAAGGATGGCTTCTTTCCTAACAGGTGTTTCCCAGACTCATTTTCCCGTCTCACCCACCCCTTACCTCACACAACTGTCTGTAAGCAATTAATTCAGTGGTCTGTGGGCTGTATCCCAGGGGAACCCTGTGCTGAGAGGCCACACTGCTGAGTGGCCATGGTTCTCATTTCTTGCACACAATGGTCACTCATAGAATCACTTGATTATAAAAGTAAAAAATGCACATGGTCATCTTCCCACAAAGCTCACAGGTGTTACAAGATTACAATTTGACATTACAACAGTACTGTCTGCGCAAAGAGGCCCTCTACTATGCTGCAGATGTAAGATGGTCAGACTTTTGTCTTTCACTAATCATTTACATACACTGAACCCACAACAATAACTAAGAAGTTAAAAAGTCCAGAAATAGCACTGAAAAATTCATTTATCTTTCACTAAGACTGATGAAATCTGCCTTATATATTTTTAATCACTTGGAGATCTTAGTCAAAAAAGTATAACAGTATAATATGATTCATGATAATACAGCATACTCACATGTAATTTAGTCATTATATTCTGTTTGAAAATTAAAACCTCTCTCCAAGACAAATGAAAAGGGTTTTTGTTCCTCAGATTCATTAGTCCAGGTATACAAAAGAAATTTGCTCTGAAAGCTAGACATGGTGGCATATACCTAAAATCCAGAGTTCAAAGTCATCCTTGGCTACAAGGTGAGTCAGGGCCAGCTTAGGCTACATGAATCTCTAGTCACAACAACACTCCTACCCCCAAGGAATAAATTTGCTTTGGAACTAACTATCTGAATAATGTCATGGAAATTTTCTTTTCTTAGTCAGTAATCAATGCAAGTAACTTGTATTCATTTGGTAACGTACAAACTCACTTTGGGGAATTATAATAGATAAAAATGAGCATATTATTTCAGATATATTTCTTCCATGTTCAATTATACCATGACAATACTGCTTATGAGTTTATGCAAAAGCCTTTCCATGAATAAGACTGTTATAATATTGCAATGAATCTACTGAGTGTCCAGAGGAGAGGGCAACATACATGAATACAGTGTGAAAGCATGCAAAAGCATAGCCAAATATCCCTGTTTAACTTGAATGTTTATGAAAATGGGAGCTAGCCAAAGACACTCTGAACTACTCTCTCAAAGTGGGGATTCAATATACTCCATGGAAAGGAACTGTATAACACAACCCAAAGCATATTATACCCAAATATGTGCATGTATTAAAAAACAGATCCTGGTATTCTTAAGAGCTAAGAATGCAAAAACAATTAATATATTCTAGTTAGTGAAAATGCTAGAGCAGTGCTCTGGGTCCTAATGATACCTAGACACTCTGTGTTTGCCAACCACAGGAAAATACCTAACTCTGAACCTTGGGGTTTTCAGAAGTCTGACAGGAAAGCAACAACTACATAGTAAACATTTATTATACCCCCAGTATTTATCAATACCTGGTATCACATACATACAGAAGTGCAAACTTAGCTATGTGTGAGTAATTAATTAATACAAGGTTCCATGTTTGGATGTTGAGATACCGATATATACTCAACACTTGGTAAATAGTTGTTGATTTTATCTGTACTGTATGAAAGGTAAGATCCTTGGGTTTGACTCTAAGTTTCTTTCACAACAGAAAAATTTTAATGTTTGAACACAATAAAGAATAAGTACACACTGGTTATTAGATTCTTCTAATAAATATTACTGTAAGAAAAATATAACTTTCAGAGCTATGTACTAGGTTAAGTCTAAAACAACAAGGGTAGAAGTTATTTTTAAATTTTTTATAGAGGGTTTAAAGAAATCAAGAGGAAAGTGAGACATTACAGCTGAATCCAGAGTGGCAAAGACATATGGGGTCCAGCACACTATTTTCTTCCCACTTTTCAATGTTCTTTTAAAGATTTATTTTAATGTCTGTGTGCACATTCGAACGTGCACGTGCACATATATGTTCACACAAACACATCTGTACTTGTCTCTGTGTACATATGTGACTCCAACTCTAAGG